AAAGAAAGAAAGAAAGAAAGAAAGAAAGAAAGAAAGAAAGAAAGAAAGAAAGAAAGAAAGAAAGAAAGAAAGAAAGAAAAAGGGGTCAGCTGATGGCATAGGAGTTTCATCACTGGGTTCCCATGTGGTTGACCACGGTTCGAGTCCTGGACTTGGTGGTATAAAAATCACGCAGGGTGTGTGCATGCGTGTGTGCCTAAGATCCTGGAAAGAGAATGGAGAAGGAGGAGTTGCAGTGTGGTCATGCCTCTGCTGGGGGGTGATTTCTCATTTTCCCTCTTAATGTCTCTGTCTCTCTCCAGCAAGCACATGTGCTGTAAGGCAAAAACCTCTTAAAAAAAAAAGATGGGCCCAGCAAGTGGCATGGTGATTAAGGGTACTGGACTCCCACATGGCTGACGGCAGTTTGATTCCCAGACCTGGCAGCTTGCTTTCTCACTTTTCTCTCTCCCTTTCTCTGTCTTTCTCTCTCTCTCTCTCCTTATCTCTGGTCAAATTAAAATAAATAAATCAAGTTAAATAAAATAATTCAAAAAATAAAAAAGGGAAAGGAAAGAAAAGGCATATGGAAAGGGCTTTAGGAAGTCGAGCACCTGGTAAGCTTGGGTGTGGTCAGTCGCCAACACCCCCAGGTAACTGAACTCGGAGTTCTACTGAGACCAGAGTGATGGAGGAAGCAGAGGCGAACCACTGCTCTGCACCGGATGCTCAGAAGAAAGCTTGGCTAGCCCGGACACTGGCTCCGAACAAACACGGGAGCACCCCCAGGCAGCCCCAGGGGGAGGAGGGAGAGCCTCCAGGCCAGGGCAGTTGGATGTTCAGGGAAGGAGGCTCCAGGGCCATCAGAAAAAGGACTCTTCACCTGGGGCCTTCTACCAAAAAAGTAAGGATTGAGACTCGCCAGGCCCAGTGCAGCCGTGCAGCCGGATCTGCCGCGAGCCTGACTGGAGTGACAGGCCCAGGACTCGAGCCACGATCGGTCGAGTGGGACGATGCCCACAGGAAGAATGGAGAAAGAACTGGGGAGTCACGCGAAGGACACAGTGCACAGTGGCCCCAAGCGTCTATTAAGAAGAGCAGGCTCGGCTGCTCAGACATCCCTGCTGACTAAATGCTGCGCGGAGCTTCCTTGAGCCTTTGGTGCCAGCCTTCGCCGCTCCGACGCCCACTGACTGCTCACAGAGGCCCTCAGCTGTCCCCTGGGAGGGCAAGGAGAAGGGAGCCCATACCAAGGAGAAGACAAGGACGGTGCCGGCCACGGCCACTGCGAAGGGACAGGACACCAGGCTGGAGCCTGGGGGCCAGGGGTGCTTGCCTCAGTCAGAGAAGTCTTGGGAAGCCTCTCAGGAGTTCCCACAAATGAGGTGCCACTCTAAAGTAATGAGGTTAGTGGGGAGGGTCAAACACATGGAGGGCATGGAGGGCACGGGTAGCACACAGGCTCTGGAATTCCTCGTCCTGAGTTTGAACGTTGGCTTCCGCTCTCTCTAGCTGTGTGATCTCGGGGAAGCTCCACGACCTCTCTGTGCCTCTATTTCCTTGCATTCAAAGGGGCTAATTCTAGTATCTAATTCACTAGCTGTTTGTAATGACCAAAGGCGTTAATATGTGTCCCCCAGCACAGTGCCTGGGACGGAACGAGAGCCGCTTGTGTGTGTTACTTTTATCTCCGCCGTTCACGAATCACGTAGGTGTGGCGCTTTCACGGCCATCTGCAGTGACCTCGAACTACCGAGAACGCATCCATGGAGCTGTCGGGGAGTTTTCCTTCAGGGCCTGCGACACCACCTTCTGACTCTTTGCAAAAGTGATGATCTAAGTCAGACACAGCGGCAGGCACCTGTACATAGGAGGGGGGGGGGATTGCAACATAGCAAGACCCTGCAAGACCCTGCCGCCAAAAACAGTGACAAATGGCTGGCCTTTGAGAGTGGACTTCACGTTGTAAAATGATATCCACAGCCAACTCTGACAAACGTGGGTGATGAAGTTGGGTAATACTGAACTGGGCCAAAAGCCACGTGTAGTCACGAAGTTACAAACATACACATATTGGTTTTGAAGGCAATTTTAGAAGGGATTCCAGGGACCAGCAGTTGGCATAATGGTGATGTTGCTGGACTCCCATGTAGTCGACTGTGGCTTGAGTCCCGGACCCGGTGGCTTAAACTCACGCAGGACACATGTGCATGCATGCCCAAGATCCCGAGAGGAGAATGGAGGAGAAGGGATTGTGGCATGGCCATCCCCCCTGGGGGCTGATTTCTGTCTCTCTGTCTCTCTGTCTCTCTTTCTGGCGAGTGCATGCACCCTAGAGCCAAAACCTCTCAAAAAAAAAGGTAGAAAAGGATTCCAAACATCACTTGCAGCACCATTTTGCAGTCTTCAATAATGTAGGGGAATACTTGTTTTATAATATTAAGCACAAATCTCAGTTTACAAAATAGCAAGTTGCACTTTTGTTCAAAGAAAAAAATGGGCATAGAAAATTAGCAATGGGGGACCAGCAAGTGGCAAGGTAGTTAAAGGTGCTGGACTCCCACATGGCCAACTGCAGTTCGAGTCCCAGACGTGGAGGCTTGCTTTTCTTGCTTTCTCTCTCTTTCTCTCCTTCTCTGTCTCTGTCTCACTCCCTCTCTGTCAAATTAAAATAAATAGATAAATAAATGGATAAATAAAATGAAATAAAATCATTCTTTTAAAAATTTTTTTAACTTAAATTTATTCATTCTTTTTTTTTTTTAATTTGATCAGAGAGACACATAGAGAAAGAGCGATAGGGAGACAGAGAGCAAGAGGAAAAGTGAGAAAGCAAGCCACCAGGTCCAGGACTCGAACCATGGTCAGCCACGTGGGAGTGCCCAATGCCTTATAAACCACGCCACCTGTGGGTCCCAACAAAATAATTTTTTTAAAAGAAAGAAAATTAGCAATGTTTTTTTGGTCTATAATGGAATTAAGCTAATTTTTCTTTTTACTTGTATTTTCTAGTTTTCCCACAATTAAGTAACTCTTTTTTTGGAGAGGTTCAGAAAGAAAGAGAGAGACGGAGAGACAGAAAGTGAGAAATCACCCCCCAGAAGGGATGGCCATGCCGCAATCCCTTCTCCTCCATTCTCTTCTCAGGATCTTGGGCACGCACGCACACGCACCCGGCATGAGTTTAAGCCACCGGGTCCAGGACTCAAACTGCAGTCGGCTACATGGGAGCTCAGTGACATAGCCGTTATGCTAACTGCTGGTCCCAATTAAGTAACTCCTAAACTGAAAAATAAAAATCGTACCACTAACAACACAGTGGTTAAGTATTGTGTAGAGGGAGTCAGCTCCCACAGGGCTGACTGCGATTCTAATCCCAACCCCAGGGACTTAGAAAACATGACAGGCACATGTGTGTGCATGTCCAAAATCCTGATGGGACAGAGAGATGGGAAAAGGTATGACCACAATCCTCGGGGGGGGGATGTTTTCTCTCACGTGCACTGTCTCTCTGTCTCTGGTAAGCGTGTAATCTCTGTCAAGAGCGGAAGAAAGGTAAAGGACCACAGCCAGGGAGCTATGAATAGATTGCTTGGAAGGCCAGCTCTCCGTGTGGATGCAATACTTTGCACCTTTATACTTTCTTTAAGAAATAGTAAAGGCTTCACTGAGAACACATAACGACACGTGCGTGTGATAGTGCCAGCTCTCTCCTGGAGGGTAGGGATTATCTATCCTAGAGTTCTTTCAGGTCATCTTGGGACAGTGCTAGCCACAGGATGTGCTTAATAGAGATCTGATAGTAGGGGTCAGCAGGTGGCGTGGTGTTTAGGGGCGCTGGACTCCCACATGGCTGACGGTGGTTCGAGTCTTGGACCTGGCGGCTTGCTTTCTCACTTTCCCTCACTCTCTCTCTCACTTTGTCCCTCTCTGGGCAAATTGAAATGAATAAACAATAAATAAACACACAAATAAATAAAGTTAAATAAAATAATTCTTTAAATAAATCAATGCACACATACATACCTGGGAGCATCTCTGCGGTGGATCCCGAGGCCCAGAGCTAATTTGGTATTATCAGGTGGGGAAGGAAGATGACTAAAGACATCTAAACCCTACTCTGATGTCTGATTCCTGGCTTAAGCAGCCCCGCCATGACCCAAAGCCCAAGTTCTTCATGAGGGAAAGTTAATGACCCAGAAGGATAAAGGGTTTGGTCCACAGCTGTCAACCAAGGCGGGTGCCACAGGGAGCAGAACCCACTGCTCCATCCTTCTCCCCGACCAGGGACAGAGGGGAAAGATGCCTGTGCCCAGCCCGCTCTGGCCACCCGCCTCTCCCCTTACGTACTGGAGTTTCGGTGGGAGCTAGCCAGGCTGTGTCCGGCCATCTCAGGGGGAGGCTGGTGACCACGGTGCAGGAACTGCTGGGAGCTGAGCACGTGGCTGGGGTGGGCAACCCTGTTTATGCTGTGCAGGACGTTGACCTGGGCAGGGAGAGGGCTTCATGGGCGCAGGCTCACCCCAGGTCTTACCGAGCCCCTCTAGAGCCCAGACCCGTCTCTAACCACTGCACCACCCTCCCTCTCAGCTCCACCCACCGTGACATCTGGAGCCCACCTCTAGGTTCCCATACCCACCAACTATCCATTTGGCCTGCCCCACCCTAGTTTCCAGCCTGGGCAGGTAGCCGTGGAAGGCAGAGGGTCTGGGTACCTCTACGAGGAATTCATTGCTGGAGTAACGGCCATTCATTTCGGAGCAGGAAAGCCGGAACTTCCTGGCATAAAGGGCGGCTCCGTGTCGCAGCCGGTAACGAGCCTGCCTCAGGATCTCCTGGTAGACTGTGATGCTCTCCACGCCTGCAGGACAGAGGAGCTCAGCAGGGGACAGACGGTGGCACCAGTGGGGCCCTCTCTCCCAGAGCCACCACACAGAGCCGCCCGTCCCTCCACAGTGGTGCAGGTGGGGGTAGGGGCACCCGAGCTTCTGGGGGAAGAAGCTCCCCTCCAGCCTGACCGGAAAAACGACAAGGTTCCAGTTCCTGCTCCCCATCTAAGAGTTCTGGGCTTCCGGGCAGCAATGGACAGGAGGAAATAAGGACATCCTGGGAGGAGGGAGGTGGAGCGGCAGGGAAACTGAGACGGGGATGCGCGAGCCTTCACTGAGGCCCTGCACGGAACCGAAATGGGAGGGAGCTGCTTAGGCCCATCTTCTGTCACTCTCCTCCTGCAGGGGCCTCCCCGGAAGGGCAGGCTTCTTCTGGAAGCTCCTCACTCTCCGCCACTCCTTAACGTAAAGCTCTGATGTGAGCATGAGGTTAGGTGGAAGACAGGGAGGAGCACTGGTACGCAGTAGCTAGAGTGGGGGGGACACCTTAGGGGAAACACAGAGGGGAGCAGGGAGGACAAGAGCCAGGCTATGGTGGGGGTGAGCAGGGAGGAGGGGAGCCAGGCTATGGTGGGGGGAGCAGGGAGGACGGGAGCCGGGCTGTCGGAGAGCAGGGAGGAGGGGAGCCGGGCTGTCGGGGGAGCCGGGCTATGGTGGGGGGGAGCAGGGAGGACGGGAGCCGGGCTGTCGGAGAGCAGGGAGGAGGGGAGCCGGGCTGTCGGGGAGCAGGGAGGAGGAGGGCAGCACCTGAAGCCTGAACCCAGGACCTCTCAAGGGCCATCTAGAAGCCAGAAGCTCTTCCAGGCTGGAAAGGTACCAAACGGCACTGGGCCACAGACCTGGAAGGGGGACTCTCTGGGTCTGCAGGTGCTTCATCATGGGAGGGACACACACATGAAAGAGGGCCCGCTCCCAGGCCCCACTGACCAGCGATGGTGAGGTAGGCAGACGTGTTGGTGAGCTCCAGCCCCCGCTGCTGCAGGGACGCCATGTCCAAGAGCAGACTCTCCCGTTCGGGGTCTAGGTCATCCCCCACCAGGGAAATCTCACAGCCGTCCAGGTTGTGCACAATCTCATCCGACATGCGAGTGTCTGTCACTGGGGGAAAGCGTCAGGGCCCAGGTCAGAGCAGCACTCAGTGAGCTCCTGCATCCCAGCTGTCACCTCGCGGCCCTCCTCCTGCCCTTCTAGGGCCCTTCCTTCAGGGAAGCCAGCCTCCTTTTCCAGAACACCACTATGCAACCATTTCCTTGCACCCAAGGTGCCCCACTTGCTCTGCTTCTTAAGGGGAGGTCTTTCTAGTCAAGCAAAGGGCAAAGTGGCACCAGTTTCCAGCCCCCGTTTCTCCCTCCTTCTGAGCCCAGACACAGGCCCCTTCTGTGGGTGGTGTCTCCCGCTGCGGTCACCCTTACCTGTTCCCTGCCAACTCTCATCCTTTTTGACCTCCACCTGGTGAGAA